CCCCAAAACCCCAAAACCCCAAAACCCCAAAACCCCAATTCTACACAATTTAATAAATACATAAAATGGAGCATCCAAGTAAGTCACCTCCCTTTCCTCAATCTCCCTCCCTCGCCCCACTTATCCCTGATACCCTCTTCCAAATAAGTCGCTTAAAAACTGATCTTGGCTCTTTAGGAAGAGGTTAAGGGGTTGGCTGGAGAATAGGAGCTGAGTGGTAGCCTAGGGGTAAGGGAGGGGAGAGGTGCAGGGGGATTGGGGGTGGGGGGATGGAGGGAGGTGGAGAGGGGGTGGAGAGGGGTGAAGGGGGATTGGGGTAGGGAGATGTTGGTGTTGTTAGAGAAAGTTAAACTTTAGATTTAGTAAAAACTCTTTGTTTATAAATTATTGATGTAGAAGAATGTGTATAAAAATTGAAGAATGATTATATGAAATGCATAATATCTTACCTCAAAATAATTAATTAAAATCAACCACCTTCTTCCTTGAAATCCCCTAAAATTCAACCTCTAGCTTAAATTTGCAAAGAAAATATAGAATTACTCACACATTCTAAAATTTCCAACAAAAACTATAAACTTTCCAAAAATGCCTCCAAACACAAAATTTTCAATTTTCTAAAAATTACACTAATTTTAGGAAGAAGAAAGCAAAAAGCACAACTTGTAGGGAGAAATAGAAAAATTTGCATGAAAAGTATATGACTGTAAGTGAGTTTCATATAGTTTAGACGCAAACCACAAATCCCAACCAGTAAGTTCTTTAGCAAGAAAGGAGTCAAAATTCGAATTATACTGGCGATGAAGATATTTTAGACAATTTATAAGGTTTTTTGGTTAAGATGTCCTTACTAATTTTCAGGAATTATAAAATAATAACGGCTAAATAGAACATTTATTAAGTCCTTCAGCGAATCATCGATCAATAGTTCAAGCACAAGAGTGTAATTATTTAAGTAATCTTTAGCGAAAGCTCTTTGTAGCTCGAGCATTGGAAAAAGTAGGATGCCATTCTTGGATTTAAAGAGCAAAGGAAGTTTCAAGAAAAAGTAATCTGAAATCATAAATTTGCAAATAATATATTTTAGAAAAATGAGACTACATCATAACAAAATGTCAAATAATAGACGGAGTAAAGTTGGTCTAATACCATAGTTTTCTCTGAAAGCCCTTCCAACACTCCAGTAGGATTAATAATCCAATCTCGACCTCTTTCTTTCTGCTCGTTTGTAAAAGAAGACACTGAATTTTACAACAACTAACAAAGCCAGAAATCCAGTCAATAACCCAATATTTTCACCAAAAATTACACCCCAACCCTATCCCAAAATTCCCCAAAACCCCCACCGCCCCACCACCCCCTCTAATCCCTGCTCAATCTTCACCAACCAGACAATCCTCCACAAAATCGCCCCTGGCGAGTCCTACCGGCACAAAATAAAAGGAATCGTCCTCGCTTCCAAACTAAAACACCGCAGCAACATCTCCCTCACCCAGACCCGCCTCCGCAGCGGCAGCTGCCTCTCTAGTCCTATTTCCATTTAAAATAACCCTGTTTTCCAACCTGACTGCGACCACGAGGGGTTTTGGGGTTTTGGGGTTTTGGGGTTTTGGGG